ACGAAAAGGTAAATGATTCTGTGAATGCTTTCTTTTTTCAATCGTTGTCATATCCCAGTAGGGCTTGTTGTACCTTTTCTTGTCGATGTTTTATCGGTGCAAGTGGTATCATTCCGTTCAAGTGCATGTGGCAGTATTGGGATCGAGCGCTCACAAAGCGATGAAGCACTGAATCGATATTACAAGCGCAATCATTTCTGGCAGATAGCGCGCAACTCAAAATCTGTAGGGAGTCTTCGGGCTGGATGCAGGAGAGTGGCTATTCTTTAATTCGCTAATATTTTCAGGGATGAATTGATTTTTTATTCCGAACGCCTCACACGAATTCTTGTCGAAGAAGCCATGAACTTCATGCCGTATATGGACGTAGAGATCGAACTCAACAATGGCCAAAGGTAGTCCAACCTATGATCTCTTATCTCAAAAGACACTACTACTACCGTGGTGTGGCAGGTGTTATTGGTATATGACACGCTGTATCCTTTGTAGTAGTTAAGAGATAGGGTTATTTTTTCTGTTACAGAGTCAAAGGACGTCGACAATGCGCTCAAATTTGCGGCATCGCAATTATGAGAGCAGGAGAGACTATGGAAAACTCTCTACGTGCCGTTGTGAAGGACTGTAAGGTAAAAGCCTTGTTAGCTGTCTCTCCAAACTTTGCTTTTCAAGAGCGCTATGAAGTTTCTGGTTCAGATGGGAAAGATATTGATTCAAACGAATGACAAGACGATGGAACCTGAGCTCTACTACCTCCGATTGCCAAAAGATATTGATAAGTACAAAGTCATGCTCTTGGATGCGACAGTCGCAACTGGTTCGTTAAGTTTCTGGTTTTGAAAGGAAGTGGTATTGGAGGAGTCATCTCCTGTACCATGTTCTGCTGTGTTTCCTCACATGTTTCCTTTTTTTGAAACTAGGGTCGCTGATATCAGTATGTGTACCATTCCGGATTTGTTTTTCCGGTAGAGGAGAGGGTTTGGGTTTTGATGCCTGGTTTTTTCATATTCTTATGGCCTCGAACTTGCCGCCCTCCCTATTTCTAGTGTGTCCTTGTTCTTGTTGGGAGCATTCTTTCATTGACATAAAAACGTCATGTTTGCCTTGTCAAACTGACATTCATAAAAAATCCTGTTCAGGCGCAGCAGCTATGATGGCGATTCGAATTCTTCTTGATCATGACGTGCCAGAAGAAAACATTTATGTCTTGTCGTTGCTCATGTCAGAACCAGGAGTTCATGCTCTGGCATACGCATTCCCAAAGGTACATTTTTATGGACAATTCTTCGCTTTTCTTCAGACCGCTGTAAACTGAAAATTTTCTTATTCTTGTCGCCAAACTACTTATAAGGTTGCATAATTCGACTTTTTCACTGCACCCTTGCCGCCTGAAAAAATTAGATATTATTGAGATAAATCACCTACTGCTGAAAAAAAGGTGACCTTTTGACTAGTGGTCGCTTGCAGATGGTGAAAGTAGTCGCAAATGTCACCTAAATGTTTTCATCTGTAGTTTTTCTGATTTTCTCTTACTCAACTTTTTTCATAATTTTATAATTTTTTCATTCTCCTGTTCGATTGACAGAAGGAAGTTTAGCAATTACCATGAAGAACCTACTATTTACATGGACTTTACGTTCTCCTGCGAGTTCTGCTGAAAATCTTGTTTGCTTTATGTCTCCCCAATAAGTCATCACTTTTTCCTTTCATCATATCTTTATCTGTTAACATGTTTTTTCTCCGCACTTTCTGGGTCAAATCTTAGTCAGGCTGAGCTTGCACGTTCTTCGAATCGAATTTCGATAATTCGGAATAGAATCTGTTCATGTCATTCGAAAGGGATACCCTTTACCTTTGTCAGTTACAACCTCGTCTTTATCAATTCTTTGCAACCCTTTTTTCCTTTCGATGTTTGCTCTCCAATTCATGCATTAATACAGTACACTGTATGCATAGTAGCATTGGTGAGAGTAGGAGCGTTTTGCATAAGTGTTATGTCGAACATCATGTGAGAATTGTCAGGTTTGGTAGCTTAGCACGTATTTGTCATGTGGAGATGGATTGTTGCTGATGAGAAACCGACAACATTACAGCCGGCATTTGAAGCGTATATCGCGCCTGGAATGAAGGTCGCTGATATTATCTTGTTACCTCGGGGTGGAGACAATGATGTGGCAATCAATCTCATTGCGAAGCAAGTGATGACCCAGCTGGTGAAGAGGGGTGAGTCATGATTGGTTGTTGTTTGCTTTCGCCCTTGTTGAGGATTCCACTTATTCATCGGTTATGACAATACTCATTCCACTTAATGTTCGCTCTATTTTATGCCTCACTTGGTGAATATGAGCCTAATTGCTGTTATTGAACTGCTGAACAGTCTTATATTAATTAGAGAAACCAAAGTTCTTGTGGTGTTGCAACTATTTTTCGACTCAAGCAACGACAAGTACACAAAATTGTTATTTTTATGCAGTTTCAAGCATTATCCTTTACTGAACAAGTACTGGGGGGGGGGATTTCAAGGCATTAATTGTGGTCACACCGTACATGGTGTTTCTGTATTATGTGGATTTTGAACGGCCAATCTGGTCAGCATAGAACTGCCGGCACGTCCAGTGAGCCAAACCTTCCATTCTTCTTTGAGCTGTTTAACTGGTGCTGGAGTTGTGCGGAAGAAAATATTTGTTTATAAGGGAACCCCGGACGAAAGCGTGTAGGCAAGATCAGGTCCGAATGGGAAAGGTGGTGGAATCTAAAGTATTATTTATCATTGTCGAATGCATTACCTTTTTGATTTGGGAGTAAGGTCTCGCCTGATTGGAGGAGAGGGTCACGGTAAAAGATAAAGCATTGCCGTTGATCAATCCCTTTTTGGGATGCGGCACGCATTCTACTTCCATTTGTACATTCGTAGTGGCGTTTGAATGCGATGTGGCCTATACAATGACTTGCGGGGGCCAGCCGATGTACAAGTCAGTGTTTTTATCCTCCCAGACAAGTCTGGTACCAATTAACCGACCCCGGAGGGATGGAAGGCTTGGTTGGCCCGGGCGACTCACGACCCAGGATTTGATCCCCGGACCGCTCGCGTGGTAAGCGTGCCACTTGCCACTACACCACTTCCGCCCTAACGGTATCGTAACTTTTTTATCCGATATTTCTGCAAATCTTCTTGAATTAGGAATCTGACCCGCTTCCCATTGATTCGTGTGCTTTGACATTGTCAATATTAGGCCTTGGCCTATTTTCCGTAAATATATTCGTTGATCATTCTGCGGATAACAAAGCTTTTCTTCATATTTATTCCATCACAGAAAAATGATGAACATTCTGAGCGGTATGATGGGTATGGGTGGCGGATATAGCGGCCGGTACAGTTGTCAGATGCGAGCGTATTCGGCTGCCTTTATCGATGCGGACTCAGCTAAAGTCGTTGAACTTAATTATGGTGGAAAGGTAGGCTCTTAAAAATGACCACAATTTCAATAAGTTCTCAAACGTCTTTTTTCAGATTTTACTGCCCAACTCAGCATTGGATTATCTTATACGTTACAATGTGCCTTATCCTATGCTCTTTAAGGTACGCTCTTCATACCCATCTTGTTAACTTTTGAGTTACTTTATGCGTAGTGATTCTGACATTTTTAGGTTTCGTCAGTTTGTGAGAATGCTCGATCTACAAATTGTGGTGTTTTGGAGTTTTCAGCACCAGAAGGAAAGTGCTATCTGCCACAGTGGGTAGGTGTACTAAATATGTTGAGGTCCATTCTAGTCAGTTATGGCAGTACTGTCGAGACTCTATGCTCCATACTTGGTTGCCTAAATTAACAAATTGGTTTTTTTTCAATGCAGATGATGAAGCAGTTGCGCATCGATGAAGGCGCTGAAGTTCGAGTGGACTCGGTTACTCTACAGTCAGCTACATATGCGAAACTCAAACCGCAATCGCTTGAGTTCCTAAACATCAGTAATCCAAGGTTTGTGGCGTGTTTTAAAAATCTCGTCCTACAGTAGTAGTTCATATGCATTTTCTCAAAATTAGTTTGTCGAAGAGAGTTTTGTGGAGAACTCTTCGAAGTTGACTACTTTTTTCCTTCGTAACTGAGGTATTATTTCATTTATGAAACGAATTTCTCTCCCCCTAACTCCCCCCTCCCTTTGAATAGTTTTGTGTATTCGAGTAGTTGTTTGTGTTTCGATGCAAGTGCGAGTTTAATTACATGGTTTGCATCCATGAAGTATATCCTCAACATATTTACATAGAGTTGTGGTTGCCAAACAAACTGGAGGCTTCGAAGATAGCCAAACCGCTGAACTATTAAATAGTATCAGATGCGCTACTTGTTGTCTCGCTGCTCATCGAGCTCCTCACATGAGCGCCAGGAATTCCGTTATTTCTTGTCGCTTGCCACAGAAGCTTAGGGGGCTCTGTTTGCTCTAGAGGCACGACGCAGTTGATTCGGCGAGCATAGCATATTAATGAATCATAACCTGACTTGAAGAACTCATTACGAACCTGTCTTTATGTAGGTAAGGGGAAAGCGCGTGAAATTGAGAATTTTATTGCAAAAGTCACGGGTCCTCTGACATCAGTATTGTAATCTTACATTGTTTCATTACATTATTGGCCAAGACAGGGATGGGAGCGCTATTTAAGGACTACAACTACCTAATTTAAAAGAGTTAGAGAGGCGTTCTGTGCAAGATTTTGAGTTGACAAAGTGATATAACCTAGGATATGTTCTAAATTTTGGGGTGCATGAAGAAAACAACATAATTCTTGTGATTGTTTTAGAGCCGTATTGGAAGTGGAGCTGCGGAAGTTTGCTTGCTTGACGAAAAATGACGTCATTGCCGTTTTGGTTCGTTTTCTCCTTGGCTTGTAGTGCTTTTGTAGTAACTATGTTTGTGTATGACTGCTACGAAAAGACTTCTGTAGAACCACTATATAGCTGGCTTCTCCTGCAGTTGACTATTTTCAGTATGCCGATCAAGTACTTGAGTTTCTGGTGCAGGAAGTGAAGCCGAGTAATGCAGTTTGTATCATCGAATGTGATTTGAATCTAGATTTTGATGCACCCGAAGGATATGTTGAACACCCGAAGGTGGCGAAACCTGCCCCTGGTTTCAAGGTTGGCTCCTAGTTACTTCTGAGTTGGGTCATAAACAAGCCGAACCTGCAGTACCTCTGTCAAAACCTTGCACGGCACTGTTTTCGAGATCTTCAGACATGAAGAAGTCTTTACTCTTTTTCTTCAGCCTCCAGCGCCGGCTGTGAAGACGATGCCAGCTCCTAGCGGATCACATTTCTCAGCGTTTAGTGGATCGGGACAGCGGTTGGATGGAAAGAAGAAGCCGTCATCGAGCAGCCTTTGTACTGAGCAAGCAGATGATCTTCTTGACACTCTACAGTCATTACCACCAGTTGTATGTGTTGATGATTATAAGCCAGGTCAGCATTTCATTTCGGTTTCCGTGGAATGGTAGCTAAATTGTCATATGTATGGAAAGGGTGCTGATACAGTGAAAGGCTCAAGTTTGGCAAGATACTGAATTTCATACAAAAGCAAGATTGCGTGCGGTAGTATTTGCGCTTGTTATAAAAATATACACAGTCAAGGGCACATCCTACAATCGGTGGAGAGTCGTAGGTGAAGAAAAACGAAAATAAACGCCGGAAACTTTGAAAATAGAAGCCGTCCTTTGAGCGGAGTGCGGGTCTATGGAACAGGTACATGCCCAAACAGATATTGGGCGCCGGGGGAGAGAACAAGGCTCAGAGACAAGAGGGCAAACCAGATAAGCGAGACGTAGATGTCATCGTATCCGCAGCAGTGGACGGCAATAGCCTAAAATTTCAGGCATTTGGTGCTCTTCCAACAAACATTTGACGCGAAGGTGACTCCACACTTGCGATGGCTTACCCATATAACCTATTCAGAGGGTGGTTCCATCAGCCTCATCGTGGCATGTGCCTCACGTTCAACCATTTTGTCTTTTATGTGAATGGTAAAACAATGGCAGATGGTTTTCCTAGGCGCAATAAGAAATGGTAATGAAGAGCCTCGTTTCGACCAATCCACCGGGGATGCACTACCTTTCCGAATTCTTTACTTCCTGTATATGCTTTGGTGCGAAATTGCCTAGAATACTGACTAACGCGAAGTATCTTTTGCTCTGTTCAATGCATTCTCAGTCAGCTCTTGTTGAGTAAATGAAAAATGTTCATAAATTGCCTGCTTACTTTTGGGGCTGAAGACATGATCGATACCGATCAACTCAATCTCGAACTACCAATTAGAAGGCAGTTCTAAGTAAAAGCGACCTGAAATGGTAACTTGGCGCCATATCGGTGAGTCTCCCGCATTGAAGTATATCGTCGATGGAAGTGCATAGTTAAGGAAAGTGGCAGGTTCTGAGATGTCTGGCGAGGGAATCGTTTAACGCCCAATTTAACAGCATCTGTAGAATCGCGGACTTCTTCAAACAAAATCGCTTTCTCAAAGTATTCGAAGACGTTGAGTGAGGCATAAACATTTGCGTTGATAAATCTCTTTAGAGAGGCGTCACCCACTCTACTTCCACTCAAAAATGATCCAAGTGATCATATTGGAAAATCGTGGTCTACCACGACAATTTTCTTATCAACATTCAATGATTTCTTATTAACAACTGAATTCAAGATTTTTCAGATGGCTTAAATTTTGCATCTTTCAGGAAAGTTGTCGTTCATACGCTACGACTACAAGTCGCGTTTCGACACGGAGCGCGAGCTGCAGGAGGCGAAGGTGGCGGCTACGAAGAAAGCAACTCCATTCGAGGGATCAAGCGCGACTATAAGGAAACGATACTGAATACAACCGGTTTCATCTCTTACTTGTCACTTCATAGTATTTGTAAAGTCAATCTGATTTGTCAATGTAAAGTGGCCTAATGTGGGCCATCGCGGAATTTTTTTGCGGCCAAGTGTTTTTTCTCGAAAATTGATATCAAGCTCTAACTTTAAATGAGTATGATTGAATCTGAGCAAATGTAAATAAACAATGATGTGATAAAAATAAATTTACCTGTGTGTGGAATTGACTTCTTTGTTCAGTGGTGGCTATGTTGACATTGTTTTGTAGAAAAGAACTGGCAGCTGTTTGATGCTTGGTAGTCGTAGGAGTTCTTTTCTGCGGTAATGTGGGTGGGATTCGTCGGAGTAAACGAATCCTGCCCACCAGAGCCTCATCATCAGTGCATGATCCAGAACACTTCTTGCAGCATATCTTGATCACCCATATCTTTCATTGAGCGAATCTCGCCAGTATGTATGAAACCAGCGGTAACAGATTCTTTGGATATTGGGATTGAAACTGAATCGAAAATAACCGCCACGCAGCGTGGTTGCAGACATCTAACTCCGCCTACAGCTGGCCTGCAGAACATCTAACTCGCCCACAGCCTGGTTTGCTGGGGTCGGAGTTATTGTATGGAGTGGAGGGGGGTAGTAGAATGTGCTGTCTGGCATGTACGTAGAAATATGAAGGTCTGTTTGGACGAACGCATAGATTGGTCGCGACGAATATGTAGAAGCGTCACGGTTTCCTTTGGGGATGGAATTAGTTTTCTGGACGGCATTCTGGGCAGTGTTGCGGGGCGTAGTGTGTTCTCCTCGATCGAATGAGAACATATTCGTAAGGACTGGGTGTCTCGCCATGCGGAAAATCGGCAATTATAATAACCTTTCACTGCGCAATTGTCGCCGCGCGCTCACGGCTGATTCAGGAGCTTCTATCCTTCAAAATTGTTTGATTGTTTCAAAATTACGAAATGCATCGCGGATAGCGGGACGGTTAGCGGGATGTAGGTTGCGCCTCTCAAATCTAGTGAGAATGTGACTTGACACGACACTCAGGATTCGCGTGTTTTGGAGTCAAGGAGATATATTTATTGCCATTAATAGGCCATAAATGCCCCAGCCGATAATGTGAGGCACGGTAGGCAAAGCTCGTGCGAACGAAATTCCGAGCATATTCAATGTGGACTCTCATGAGCGTGTACTTTCTGGCTCGCTCATCAATCGTTCCACGTTCGCGAAATGAAAATGCGCACATGGCTTATTTCAACGAAATTGCGGCTCGATTTGTTGGAATAGCGGCCTGTTCGGAAGACGGGAAAAAATGGTGTAGGCGCCAGAGACCCTATTCTGGTCTGGCTAGCGATGGTCCTCGGAGTGCGAGCGTCACCATTGCTAAGTACTCACTAAGAGCCGCATTCCAGCTGACGGATTTTCCTCAAAACGCCGGACTTGATTTCAATTTCTACCATGTTCTTTTCCTTATTCGGCTTACAATCCTTCTTTTTTCTTCTTTTTGGACCATTTTTATAGCAGATGAAGAGCTTCTTTGGTACCGGCTCACTTTTGGGAGATTCTTCAATTATTTCCACTCCGCAAGCAAGGAAAGAGATTGGACGCGCCTAGGATCAATGCAGCCTTCTTTGAACTAAGCCTTCGAGGGCATGGACAAAATGTGAGACCGATCTTGCTCTACCCCAGCTCCTAATCTGCTCTGTTACTTCTAGCGCCATCACTATGGCAGAGGAGATGTTACCGTAATTATGACTCGGTAAACTAAGCTAGTTGAATGGTTTTCTCAAACTTCACCGCAGCGATCACTTTGTTCATGGTAATTAGAAGTCAACAGTTAAAGAGCTTTCAAATTATTGGTGCAGCACCCAAGTATTCCCACCCTTGTCAACTTGAAGGTGCTGGAACAGCGACTGCGATGGTATGAGCGTTTGCAACGTAGGCAACAGGATCACCTGATAGGAAGTCTCTGGACTTCGAGGCCAGTGCAAGCGAGGAGTCTCGTGGAAGGCCCTCATCAAGAAGGACCTCACAGAAGTCAGGGCCGCGGCAGGAGATGCCGCGGATAGGGCAAAGTGGCGACGGCTAGTAAGAATAGCGGACACTGAAATTACGCGGAATCAATGCTAGAAAGAGAAGGAGAACAAGAACACTCAGACATTCACTGTTGTAAACAAATGCGATTAAGGGTTATGTGCCCATAGGAAGATCCGCAAAAAAATAATTAGTTGTAGGAAGAATGCGCTGTGTGCCTCTATCAGCCCGTCCCCGTTCCCGTCTTTAGACTTGTCCGACTTCATTTATGTCCCACTTAAATCATCATTTCAAATAGATTTCGAACAAGAATACTCCTAAATGTTCAGTTCATGCCTGTCGGCGTCACGATGGTAATCTCCAACTAATTCAATTTATAGGAGCATCTTGGCGTAATGAATCATCTGGCCTTCTGTTCGATTAGATAATTTCGGTGGCACGATTTTCAGCTTTTAAGTTTGTCTTTTTCTTCAGAGTTTAAAAATGGCTAGTAACCTCAGCGCGTTGCTCGAATACTGCTGCTGTTTCACTCGATTTCGTCCAAGTTGCCACTTTTCGCAGTTTTGTGTACTTTAAGGGACCGCCCATTTTCTTTCTTAATCTTTCATCAAGGCCCTGAGAGAGGGATGGCAGTTTCTAATGTGCCTCGTTAT